TACCCACTTGCATTTTTGATATATTTTTCATATATACATATATGTAATATATATAAATATATGAAAAATTGATGTGGGTACTCAAATGAAAAGTCTCGATGAGTGTAACATCAGAATGAGCTTATATCTTTAAAAATGTCAATAGTTCACAAGATGCAATGTAATTTCTTAACTATTGACATTTTTAAAGATATAAGCTCATCCTGATGTTACGCTCATCAAGAGCTTTCGTTTGAATACCCACATGAATTTTCATATATTTTTCATATATATACATAAATGGAATATATATAAATATATGAAATATATGAAAAATTGATGTGGGTACTCAAATGAAAGGTCTCGATGAGAGTAACGTCAGGATGAGCTTATATCTTGAAAAATGTCAATATTTCACAAGATACAAGGTCATTTCTTAATTATGTATCTAGAGATAGAGAATTTTCGAATGCAGCCTAAATATTCATCTTATTTAATATTTCTTAAACTTACTTGAAATTTAATATTAATTTTATTTTTTAAAGGATGTAACTGCTGAAGAGTTTCACAACATAATGGATATTTTGGGATGGACAAGATTAGGATCAACAGTGGCTGGTCAGCAGGAGTTGATTGAAATAACAATTGAACAAGCGGAGCTTTCAGTTCCATTCAAGCATAACAACGTAGAACAATGGGATAAACTTGTACATTGTATTAAACACGCGCTTCCTCATTTCAATGTAAGTTTAAATTCTAAAATTAACAGACAATGCTGCGTTACATAAATAAATAAATTAATTAATTAATAATTAAATAACAATTTTTTTTATTAATAAAATTTATTTTTTTCAGGCTCAAACAGATTCTTCAAGGTACGTTTCGTACATTTGCATGCAGGTACTTCCACACTTGTCTCTAATCGCAGCTCCTGATAGCCGAGATGCTCAATTAGAAATTCTTAAGCTACTTGCTGAGTTGGTAGCTTTTTGCGGAGCCATTGAAAAACCAGATGAAAAAGTTCAACAAATTTACAACGCGCTTATTGTAAGTTAAATTATTTCTACAGCTGTTGATAAATTTATTTAAAATTATAAATATAAATTAATTAATTAATTATTTGTTTAATAAATTACTTAACTTATTTACTAATTAAATTTCAGACTTACATGCCATTGCCGCCGGACTCTGAAATTTCAGAAGTTCCCAAGCTTCAATTCAGTCACGTGGAGTGTCTTATGTATGCGTTTCACAAACTGTGCAAACAAACACCAGAATTTTTGCTCAAGGATGCGGAGCAACTCAAAGAGTTCAAATTAAGGCTCCAGTATTTTGCTCGTGGTATTCAAGGTTACATTAAAAAATTACGCGAGGCTATTGGCGGTAAAACTGAAGAAGAATTGAAGACTGAGGAGAATCAATTAAAGGTTGTCGCTTTGAAGACTACTAATAATATCAATACGCTGATTAAAGATTTGTTCCACTCACCACCCAGCTTCAAGAGTGTTATTCATCTTTCATGGAAAACTCCTACTGTTGATAACAAGGTAAATAATTGTTTTATTAAATATAAATATAATTATTGAATAATGAAATAATTATTTTAAGAAATCGGTGATTTAATTTTGATGTTTATTTGCAGAATGATAAAGTAGCTACGGCTCAAAAAAGGCATACTCCAATAACTTTTGGTAACGGAAGCCCTACAAAACGTAGCAAAGAAGAATACAAAGGAGGCAAAAGGGAAATTTACACACCACCAAGCGGAAAATATAGCTCGAACATCTCATCTAATTACGGTAAATATTAAATTTCTTCAATTAAATAATGATTTTTGGTTAATTGCATTGTACTTTCTTAAATATTGACGATTTTAAAGATATAAGCTCATCTTGATGTTACTTTCGTCAAGAGCTTTCATTTGAGTACCCACATGAATTTTTTATATATTTTTCATACATACATATATATATAATACATATATGTGATATATATATAAATATATAAAATATATGAAAAATTGATGTGGGTACTTGAATGAAAGGTCTCGATGAGTGTAACTCCAAGATGAGCTTATATCGTAGAAAATATCATCAGTAGACAAAATACGACGTCATTTCTTAATTATTGAAATTTTTTAAGATACACTCATCAAGAGCTTTCATTTGAGTACCTACATGCTTTTTGATATATTTTTCATAATATACATATATATAA